AACAACTGTTCCAGCTGTGTTTGAAGGCAACAATTGATATAAGGTACCCATGCTGTCAAGACTCACATGCCGACTTGGTTTTTTTTCTGTCCAGGAAGCATAATAAAATCACATTTAAGGTTCAAATGCCAGTTATAATTAAAGCAGACAAAGTTTTTTTTTTAAAAAAAAAACCAACACCAAGTTTTCTATATTTTTTCTATATTCTTACCAGTAACACTACAAAAAAAAAAAAAACCACTACTGAGAAGGTTTGTTTGTTTTTTAAAATTTGTTTCCTATGCAAGCAGTAGACTTCCGGAAACAATCTGCTCTGCCAGAATTGCTCAGAATTGCAACAAGCTCAGAAAGGTGGACAGAAAAAATAGCTTTCTTTTTAAAACAACAACAACAACAAAAAAAAGATTTGTAACCTCCTTCCACTCTAAAACAAAACAAAACCAGGAACTGTGGAGAGACTTCCATAACCAATGTAGTATGAAAAGCAACATTTATTGAATATTTTTAAAGGACAGCATTCCTTTCAAAAGCTGTAGCTAAACATAATTCTCTATGTCTAAATCCTGTGCTAAACAAAACAGGCTAGTTTTTGCAGCTGGAGTCATGCACTTAGGACACTCAAATAACAACAACTGTAAAAAAATGAGCAATTTATGTTTACAGTAAAAAATGCTATGCATACTCAATAATGTATTCAGCATGTTACTTAATTCACTGCATCAGAATTTGCATATTCTTGCACTACTTTTCAATGTTTCAGTCCAGCAATTAGCATACTGAATCTTATTAAAAATATCAAAGATGTCTTTTTAGTTAGCACGGTGAAAGGAAAAATACGCACCTGCAAAACATTATTTTAAACACTAATAATTTAAGAAATATTAAGTGCCATAGAAACCATTACCATCTTAATACACTAGACACAACAGAACTCATTAAAAGAAATACCTACAGCAGCACCATCCAATCAATTTGATTTGTAGACATCTTGTAAATCTTTCACTGGAAAGGAAGATCCCTGTAAGGCTATTGAAACTCACTGAGGATAAGTTTGGGCTTTTTTCCTAATTATCTTTCACAGAAAATCTCTCCCCAGAAACCTCAGGATGGACCAGAAGCTGAAAGCTGATGTCTCTGTGGTAATATAAAAAAAAAAATTCAGCCTGGCATGCTTCAGAGCGTACTAGTCACACTGGGTTTTCGAAACCCTGACCTTGCTGAAGTGACCAGATATTTTTCATTTAATCCATAATTTATCACAGAAATAATAAGAGTCATAAAAGGAATGTGCTCAATTCCTTTTCTAACACTGTTTCTCAGTGCACGCAAGGAAAGTCAAGTTAGGTCAAAATCAGACTTCTAAATTTCACTTTCTAATTTCTGCATAGCATTGTATTTATACATGCAGGGGAGGGGAGGGTATTTTAGAACACTCCATCTCTGCTCCCTGGCTGCTAATTCACACATTGTGGTACAATGGCATAGCTTCCTGCCTTCTAACCTTTCTGCCAGACTTACAAAAGAAACGCACGGAATGCCAGCCTCCATCAGTTTGTTCTCCCAGACCAAGGGAAATGCTCCAAAGCCAAACTAAACCATGTGTCTCTGCAGTCACTCACATCTGCTCCAGCCACCACCTCTGTGAGACAGAGACGCCTCCCATCCCAGGGTCAGAGATGCAACATGTCCCTATGACACATGAAACACGTCATAGCTGCACAACTGCTGCACAACACACACTTCACCTTCTGTGACGTTCCTTCTGCCTTTGATACATGCCCATTCAAATTTTATTTTTTAGAATGTTGAGTCTTATGTAGATGAGATTCAGGACTGTAAATGCAATGCCAAAGTTAAAAAACAGAACTATCACAAAATGCAGTATTTTCACATCTTGCCACAGAATAAATGCAATAGGCTTATTTTAATCCCTGTAGTTCTCCTTAGAAAATACCAAAAATTAGGCTGTTAATTAAAATAATACGGCAGCCACTTCCTAGTTGCAAACTCTAAAAAACAACCTTGAAGCAATTGTAAAAATGCAAGCATGGCTCATACTACAAAGCATTTCATTGTCAATTATTGTTCAATGTAATGAGTCATGCAAGTCCACCACTGTAATATGTGTGTCAGTAACTCAGCCCTGGGGATTCTTCATTCTTATTTGTTCTAATATGCTACAGGCATGCTATTACAGTCAAAAAAGGAGGTGTGTACCAAAAGGAGGTTTCAGTGAATCTCTTCAGCAATAATAAAAACATCACAAAAATACACCACTAGCATTCACCTTCATGACCCACTTCAAAATAGTCTCATGTTCCTGCCAAAAGCACAGTGCTGCCGCATTACCTCTTCCAGATTTTCACCCTAAAACTGAAATATGATCTACTGCTCTGCCCACAGCATATTGCTAATTATACCCCTGATGCAAAGTATTTAGCTTCTGTATTTTCACCTCTTCCACTCTGCTCATTACAGCATTTCACACTTTATAATTGAATGCATACTAATATTAAAGCAGCAATGTATGTCAGAAAAGCAATAAACTTGACTTGTCACACTAGGTTTATCCCAGAGAAAAATATGTAGAGGTATAAATCACCACTTCTGGGAACAAGGCAACACAATATGGACCCTAGAATTGGGCAGTGAAACACACAGGCTCTTAAAGTTTTAAGTCAATCACATCCCTTCAGGCACATTCTGTAAAATAAATGTAGCTTTAATCAGACACATATACCAGGATATGCTTGCAAAATTAGCATTTTCCATTGTATAAGGTGGTACACAGAAGAGACAAGGTTGTTGGCGGCTTGCTTTTTAACATGAGAATGGGAAAACAAAACATTTACAACTTCTTATGCAAATACTAGCAATAAGCAGTGCTGTTCAAGGTTTTCTTTCTTTTAAAGAATCTTTCAACAGGCAGACTTAGAAGGAAAAGTGTTTTCTAAAGAAAAAAATCTTGTTGTCCATGCAACTATATACCTTTAACAACTGTATTACAGTTTCATTCCTACCAAAATCAGTAGGATTCTCCTATAAAAGGATAACATTCAGTAAGCCTGATGAAGTGTTGTATAACACATCACCTTGTAACGATGAAATTTCACCTACACTGATGCTCAAAAGCATATTCCAGTAGGAAAATCTGATAGCAGCCACACAGACTCATCACAGAAAGCTAGTTGCACTAAAGCCACTTCTCTTCTTCCTTCAGTACGACACATTTTTGACCCCCCCATACCAGTTTTGTAGTGCCATACAGAGAAATGAATTGGTAGCCTCTATTCATTCACACATTTTCTGCTACCAGGAAGATTAGTTACAGAAACACAATTATGTATTAATGACAAGCTTGACTTAGCACATTTTAAGCATCCAAATAAAAAATTAAAAAAAAAGTCAAACAGGACATTTTCCCTTCATTTCAGAGTCACTCTCATGCCAATCACTGTTATGTGAAAGGATGCATAAACAGCACAGTTCAATCCACAGACCAACAATTCAGTGACCCAGAAAGAGAATCTAATGGCCAACTGAGTAAACAGAGCAAAACTAGCGAAAACCAAAGGGCAGCATGCACATCAGCTTCTTCTCCACTTAACTGGCACATACTTAAACATAGTCTTGTATTTTCACATTCTGCAACAAGACTTCACATTCCCATAAACAGCACTTCCTCCGTTGTTTCCAAGACACATATTATGCAAAAGGAGAAAAATATAATGCAATTTGCAATTGAAAATTATACTGACAGCTAGAGATGGCTCAAAACAAAATGCTGGATTCAAACATCATTCTTCCCTTTGGGAGAAGGTGGCTGCAATTTTTTGAATGAACGTGATACAAATATATACATGTCTATAAATATAAAAATCTATATAATTTACAATACACCCACACATCTGCATCTAGACAAAGCATGTGGAAGCAGTTATTTAAGACTAAATATTTATTCCCTGGTTCCTTTTTGCCTTAAAAGAGGATTGCTATTAAAGTTATAAAAACCCACCCACCTCTAAATCTTTGCTTCACCTTATGTCAAAAGGGCAACATACATTAGAGTCCAACAGTTAAGTAGCACAAAAGACAAGAAAGATCCCATTGTATCTTTGATTTTAATTTCAGTACATACAATGTTATTCCACCCACTAACCTTAGAGCAAAGCTTTGATTTGGACAGATTCTTTTCAAAGAGCGCATCCAAACACAGCCTAACTAAAAAGCAGAAACAAACTAAGTTCTCCCACCTGTCCAAGACACTCTGTAGGCTACTGGGCATCATCTGCCCTTTCCAGGAAGAAGTATGAGAGAAAGAGATAGGTGCCAGAAAGCTGGTAAAGCACAGCTGAAATATCAGCTTTTACCAACAGATTTATCCCTTTCAGAAAAAACAAATGGAAAAGTTTTTGTGTTGTTGTAGTCAGGACAACGCCTTGCACTCTGAAGTTCACAGTATTTTACTGCAGGGCACCTTAACAATTTTCTGAGAAGTCCCACTTGCCCCTTTTTCTAGCAAAATTAAAAGTTTTTCTAGAAATGACAGCTGTCCTTTGCCACAGGCCATTCCAGTTTGCAGCTTCTGAAAAACTGGCAGATTTCAGCTGAGTTCCTCTCCCCTTGCCCTGCCTTTCCATTAGTCTTCCAAGCCAGGCTTTAGTACTGGTAAAAGCAGTAAACCACCACAACTTTTAACTCTCTTAGCACACATTTATTGAATTTGCCTGGAATCTGGAAAGTGATGGGGAATGAAGAAGAAAATAGGCCAAACCAAAACCAGACCCATTTCCAGAGAACCTCTCCACCATCAGCATTACGCGCTTGAATTTACTAGAAAGACTCCAATAGATCCCAATCATATTTGGATTAGTCCTGAGCCTCCTTCATATTGCCTTGTCAAATCTCAAGCAGAAATACCACCCCAAAAAAAAAAAAAAAAAAAAAAAAGATTGCTATCATTTCCTTTAAAGTGTTACACAAACACACATTTTGCTTACCTCGCTGTTGTGGCCCCTCAAATTGAAGTTGATTCTCTGAGGGGTGTTCCGGTCCCTCCTGCAATGGCTGGAAGTAAAAGTGACGCCTACAACTCCTCTGCCATTGCCTGTTGCCAACCAGCCTTCCTCATAATACCGCCTCCTGCACACCGGTTTCTCCTTCTCACTTTTGGGGACTCTCCCTTTCCAGGAGAGGCAGAGGATGTTGGAATCGCTGCAAAGAACAGGCCCATGTTCCACTGCTGCATACATGCTTTTTAAATATTTTATTTTTTGACATAAGAAAGTAGTATGTCTAGTGCACAAAATTTAAATCAATTTTTTTTTTTTTTATTGATAAGACTGACCTGGGATAGATCATTGAAAGGGAGGAGGATGGGGTCAGTGTTTATAAATATCCACCAAATGCATAGTGAAAAATTCCTCTATAAAAGATGATGGCAGTTGGCTAAGAAAAAGTAACACTTAAAAAAAAAATTCAGGTTCATTTTTGTTTTTGAGTCTGTAGAGTGAGGGTGCACTTATCCTTTGGAGAAACAGCTACTTCATAAGAGGCGCTCAAGAAATGGTTAAGTCATCTTTTTGCTCAACTTGATATAATCTTTATACAGCCTGAGATTCCAGTTTAGCGTAATGCAATTCCAGAGACAAAGAGTTGCAAACGTGTAGGTTTCAAGTAACTTAAGGCTTTTAAGATTTCCTCCAGTCAGATTTTCTTCAAAAGTTCAGTTGCAGAAATTTAAACACACGCACATACATATATATGTATATATATGACATTCCTCTTTTCCAAGCTGCCCTCTGGCATATCTTTTCCATCTGATGTATTTCTGCTGCTAAAGCTGAAAGAGATTGCATAAAGGGAAAAAAAGGCACACAAACCGTGCGAAACAGACCCGAACTTGTGCAGGCACTGGTGTGCCAGGCCAGTTGGGAAATCCCTCTTGGTACTGAACTGCTCGTTGGACTCAAAAGTTTTTGCAATCCAAAGCCAATCCAATTTTCATTGCAGCACTTTTTTTCCACCAGAGACCCAACACGGCCTGAACTGTTTATCACGCTATCTTGCCTGCTTTCCCACTTTTTGCTGCCACACACGAATGAAAAAGAAACCCCCTCTTCATTTATAGCAGAATCAAAAACGCTCTAAAGCTTTTGGCTTTCAAAGCAGATAAGTTTGCCTCAGGTGAACCATGAAGTTCTCTCTCCTCCAAAACAGGCTAAAATGTCAAGCTGTTTTTCCTTTGCTTTTCCCTTTTTTCTGCTACAAGGAATCACAGACTTTTCATCCTACCATAAAAAAACAAATGCCAGAATTAAAGCACATCAAGTAAGCACTCTTTCAAAATCTTCTAAAATTCAAGGAAGGAAGAAATATAATCATTTAAAAAAGAAAGAGAAGCAGCATTAAAAATCTGACTTCCTGGGTTCACTATTTCTCTAGGTATTTTCCTTGCTTGTTTGATCGGATCTTTCCTTCTTGATGCTTGTCTACAGCACAGATTCATAGTTCCAGACACAACATTTGCAGCTGTACAAGAAGGAAACATATGAAGTATTCCAATTGTTTTATTTGAATAACATTTATGAGCTCAATTAATTAGTATTTATACCACACTAAGTGAAAAGAGGAAAAAGGAGAGGGAGAAAGAATATGCAAGTTTGATGACCTGGTTAACTCAAGAAGGACGATGAGGTTTGCTCAGTTCAATGCCCAGACTTGTCCCATACTTCCTCAACTTAGTTACTTCCAGTCATCATTCCTCAACATATGGTCATGATTTGCTAGTCCATTCACAATCTATTGACCCCAAAGCAAAACGTGCCAAAGACCATACATTATTCCTCTGCGATAACAAAATCAGTTTCCTCTACCCTCTGTATTCTTCCGTTTCCCTCACAGCTATTGATTTAGATTGTAGAGGTATTTATTAGGCTTGTTCTGTGCAGAGGGTGTTTTTTCTTCCTCTTCTTGCAAACTTTTTTCACCCGCGAAGACCATGTGGAAAGCTGAACATCACTGGCAGGTGTCTTTCCATGGGTTACTAATTCCTGTGCTGTAAAGGTGCTCCATCTGGTTCTCAAATTACTTTTCATCAATTGCAAAGCTCTCAGGAATATGCAAGAGTAAGTCTATGTGATGACAAAAACATGTGCGTTTTCATGTACATGCAGTGCACACACCAGCTCACTCAATCTCGTACTCAGAGCCTTTTCAGTTTAGCTGTGGCAATCTTGTAAGACGCCCGTCATTCAAAGCTTGAAATCCATGGATTCTTCTAACTCTGCAAGACAAAACACACACACACACAAAAAGAAAAAAGTGAGTAAAATAAGCCACGAAACAACTTAAAGATATAAGGACTATTGTTACAGTAATCAAAGCATTATGATTAAGGATTTTATATTGGACTCCTATAAAATATCTATATTATATAAAGATACATGCAATATTCAGACACACACACATGTATTTAATACACACACAAACTACAAAATTTTCTTTTTCACTTCCAAAGTTACCAAAACTTTTCACAACTGACAATTATAACTAATGAAATGTACCCAGGAAAGATACATTAGGGGGGAAAAAAAGAGAAACTTTCTATTGACCACAGTCACTGGGGCAAGTTCTTGAACAAAGATTCCACAACTTTGGAGTGAGGGTAGGGAAGGGAGGTCTCAGTGACGGAGCAGACACAGAGTTAGACCCCGAGGCACACCAACAGAATCACAGAACAACTAAGGTTAAAAGGGACCTCTGGACATTATCTGGTCCAACCACCCTGCTGAAACAGGGTCACCTAGAACAGCTCTCCATTACTATATCCAGGTGGCTTTTGAATATCTCCAAGGATAGAGACTCCATGACCTCTCTGGGTAATCTGTCCCAGTGCTCGGACACCCTCACAGTAAAAAAGTGTTTCCTGATGTTCACAGGGAACCTCCTGTGTTTGTTCATGCCTATTGCCTCTGGTCCTGTCACTGGGCACCACGGTAAAGAGCCTGGCTCCCTCATCTTCATTCCCTCCCATCAAGTGTTCATACACATTGAAAAGATCTCACTGAGCCTTTTCTTCTCCAGCCTGAACAGTGCCAGCTCTCTCAGACTTTCCTCATACGAAAGATGCTCCAAACCATGAAAGTACAGTGCCAAACTTAGTCCTAAAGGAGACTGAGAAGGATTCCTCCAGGGCTTAAATTACTGCTTTAAAGAGATCCAAGGTACTCCAAAATTAAAGCTTAGAAGATTGAATCAATACAGATGAATTTTAAAGACTACTCAAATCCTGCATTTGAAAGAGGGTGAAAAAATTACTCAAATTCCGTTATATACAGAACAGCGTAAATACAGTAGAAGAGACCAAGCAAAATGCTGTCCAAGATATTCCAAGGACATGGAGAAAGCTGAGATACTCAATGACTTCCTTCCTCAGTCTTCACTGGGAAGGGCTCTAACCACACTGCCCAAGTTGCAGAAAGCAAAGGCAGGGACTGGAAGAATGAGGTACCACCCATTGTATGAGAAGACCGGGTTCAAGACCATTTAAAGAACCTGAAGGTGCACAAGTCCATGGGACCTTATGAGATACATCCATAGGTCCTGAGCCAAGCCACTATCCCTCATATTTGAGTAGTTGTAGCAGTCCAGTGAAGTTCCT